ACACGATATCAATATCATATTCTCATTAATGTTATGAAACAATTTATATTTCTTTATTATAGAGATCTATATTTTAGAAAATTACTAGAGTTTAACCTGATATCTACCCTTTAAAATTATAGTTTGAACTAGGTACGGGCTGAAACAAACCCGACGAATGTCCAGTAAGTTTCAAAAAAAGTGTGATACGTAGGACATACATTCAAGAACTATATGACAAATGTATAAACTAAAATATGCATTATATAATTGACGACACATTTGACTAGGTGTATGCATATATCCACGGAGTGTCCGTTGAAGTTTCAGTGTTGGATACGCGTAACACACAGGAATGGCTCCAGATAGAAGTACTCATGCAACATAGATTGAGATATATAATACGAGACATGAAAAGAAGTGGTTATAACTTCATAAATGTGGAATGTTAGGAATCTAAAGGATCAAACAAGAAAGTAATTCTTGCGAAACTCAAAATAATGAGTAGAACTAGACTCTAGACCTATAACCAATGAAGTCAGGATTGTTGGATATCTTGACCCCAAGATATGTTTGTTTTGATGATAACAAATATATATGTTGTGTGTATTTTGTGCTAACATATGTTTTGCAGTATCAGTGAAAAATCAACAATGATATTCAAAGAGATACTCAAGACACAAGGCAATACAAGGCAATTGAAGTTGATACAAGGCTAATTGGAGATGAAAGGAATCAAGATGCTTCAATGATATAATTGTATTTTGGGTTTTCTTTCATTAGGTAGAATCTTTGTTAAAAGCCTTGATCCCTCACAACACATACATGCACATAGTATTTAAAACACACTAACACATGTTTAGTGTGTGGTTAACTATAGAAATCCCCTAAGTTAACCATTAGAGTTTATAGATATAGAATGAGTCTCAAAACATATCAAATATCTTATATCTATCTGAAGTCGACTAATACCCTTACTAGTCAACTATAAAAGCCTTAATCAAAGTTACAGAAACTTCATATTTACATATTAGTCGAGTACTATTCTTAATAGTCGACTACTCATTCTCAGTTCAACTTACAGAAACTTAAGTTTTACAGATTAGTCAACTAATGCCTTAAGTAGTCAACTACTAACCCTGTTTCTTGACTTCACAGAGTTCGAATAGACTCAGTGTAGTCGACTACTAAGCTTAGTAGTCGACTACAAAGGTAGTTTTTCTAATTGTTCAAAATTTGAATAAGTGAACATTTATAGCCATTTTTAAACGTTGATTGGTTTAAAATTTGAATATTTCAGAGGCTATAAATAAGTTTTAACATCAGAATTTGTGTACGAACATGAGTAGATACAAGATTCGAATTTTGATCAAATTCATTTTCTCTTGATACAAATTCTCATTAAAATTGTCAAGAAAAGAAAATTCTGAGATTGCATTTGTTCTTCATTATTACTAGAAATTGTTATAGGCAATTTTTTAGAAAGTTTAAATTCATAAGCCAGTGCTGCACTTCACATTCACATCAAGGTTTATAGGATCAGTTTTGTACTTTACTTCAAAGGAAGGTTATTTCCGGTTTGAGAGATAAGATCTCTTGGTTTAGAGATTGATTGCAATTGGCATGGTCTTGTCAATTGGTTAGGTTTGATCTTGTGATTTTTAAGGTCAGGTTGGTTTGTGGATTTACAAATTAAGGAAAATAAAATCTCAAGCAGGATTGGCTTAGGGACTGGATGTAGGTCTGGAGGACCGAACCAAGAAAAATCCTTGTGTTTGCGTTTGTCTATGTTTCTATGATTTGTGTTGTTATTCATTATCTTTTCAGTTAGTAACTTTTCTGATTAAATATTTATAAACACTATTAATTTCCACTTTCTAGTGTTTGTGTTGCCATAGGTCAGCGATCCTACAAGGACCCAACAAGCATTGGCTAGTAGAATACCAAGCCTCTGGGAATTAACCAAAGACATTCTTTTAGGACCTTTAATATATCTTTGAACGCCATCTGCTAGGGGCATGTCATGTATCCCCAAAGTAAAGACTCAACGGGACTAGTATCGTCGACAAACCAATCAGAAATTCAGGAATCCATGACCTTCTAATCTTAAAGCCCCTTCAATTCTAACAAGCAACTATATACATCTTCAACAAAACTAGATGTTTGTTGTTGAACATGGAAACTGATTGCCTGACAAACTACTTATAGTTAAGCTAGCATAACCTACTTTTCCGTTACCCTTTGAAGATTGTGCATACTTCTTCCTTCCGATTTTAGGCACCAAAATTATGTGGTCCCCACCGATTCTGTTCAATTAGGTCCATCCTTCTCATTTTCCCTTATTTCTATCCTTTCATCCTTACTAGATTTTTGGCACTTATCACACACAAGTTATTCTGGGAGTATCACATGCAAGTTATTTTAACCTTCGAGTATACGAGAAAAATTCACCCCCGTGGTGTTGCAACATTTATGTGAAAACAACCAAAAACTTTATTTAAGCATTTGGTATAAAAATACACAGTATATTTAATCGCTTAAGAAAAATTATAGCAAACAATAACAAAATATAGCAACTGGCACCATATCAAGCAGTTGAAATACAAAGTGAGTTAAAAATAATTTGGTTGAATATTTTGTGTCTAAGTGGATGAGTTTAAAAGTAAATGATTACAAAAGTTTGAGTTTATAGACAAAAAACCACTGTTGGAGGTAGATGATTATAAAATTAAATAGGAATATAAACTTTACGTGTATATATTAAGAACTCATCTATGATGCCACAACATTGAAGTGAGAAAGAAAAGACCAAATTAATGGCTTAAGCATTTGGTTAAAACACACTGCATACATAACTTAGAGAAAAATATAAAAAGTTACAGTATAATATAGTAACTTACACCTTATACCAAAGTGTTGAAATACAAAGTGAGTTTGTTATTAATTTGTAGTAGTAGTTTGGGGGCAAGAGTGATTTTTGGAAGTGTCGGGTTTTAAAAATAAACATAGGTAAAAGTTTGGGTTAATCAGCAAAAAAAACCTTTTGGAAGTATGTAAGTTAAAAATAGATGTGGGTAAAACTTCAGATTTATCGACAAAAAAACATCTACAAGTTGTGTGACCTGACATTCATCTGAAGATAGAAAAAAGGAAAAAAGAATGGTCTAAATATTTAGTTTAAAAATGCATTATATACCTAACCATATAGTTTGCAAGTTATAACAAAATATCGCAACTTACAATAGGCTAGAATACAAACTAGATTTACAAATAATTTGCCGAGTATTTTGGTCTAGGGGTGACATATAGGCAAAAAAACCTTTTTGGAAGTGAATGGGTCCAAAATAAAAATATGAAGTAATTGGTTTCAAAATATAAACTAGATTTACAGATAATTTGCGGTGATTTTAGAAGTGATTGGGTTCAAAAATAAATGAGGGTAAAACTTTGGATTTATAGAGAAAAAAAACCTTTTTGGAAGTAGATACATTTAAATTAATGGAGTAAAACGTCATGTGAAGTATTTGGGTTTATAAGAAAAAAATGTGAATTTTGAACCTAGGCAGATTTAAAAATTAATAGGGTTAGACTTTGGGTTTATAAGAAAAAAGGTGAATTTAAAAATGATGAGGTGAACTTAAAAATAATGGGTGTAAAACTTTGTGTAGAACATCTAAAGGCAAAAGAAACCATTTTATTACGCCTCGTAATATTATTATATTATTTTTATTCAATCTCATGGAGTATTTTGGTCCTAAAGAGGAGGTAATAGTCGTTTTGGCGGATTTAAAAATTAATAGGGTTAGACTTTGGGTTTATAAGAAAAAAGATGAATTTAAAAATAATGAGGTGAACTTAAAAATAATGAGGTGAACTTAAAAATAATGGGTGTAAAACTTTGTGTAGAACATCTAAAGGCAAAAGAAACCATTTTATTACGCCTCATATTATTATTATTATATGATTTTTATTCAATCTCATGGAGTATTTTGGTCCTAAAGAGGGGGTAATAGTCGTTTTAGCGGATTTAAAAATTAATAGGGTTAGACATTGGGTTTATAAGAAAAAATGTGAATTTAAAAATAATGAGGTGAACTTAAAAATAATGGGTGTAAAACTTTGTGTAGAACAAGTTGGTGGGCTTAAAAATAAATTGGTTTACAGGTAGGTTTATATGCAAATCGCCCTTTATTTAAATGCCTTCTTTAACTATATCTTAAACTATTGGGGTGCGCTGCAGCTTGCACAAGCGAGTAACTCCATGACTCAGATCTCGAAAAATGAATATGGCAAAGGCAAGTCTTGAACCTGTAACCTATACGTTTAGGCTAAACGCTCTAACCAAATGAGCTACTTGGCTTTTAGGATTTTTTAGGGAAAACATCATACTATAAAAATAATTTATAGTAGCTAAAAATTGTTCCTTACCCATTAACTTTAGTATATAGTATAATTTTGGAATTGCCACAAATTTTAAGATAATTTGACTTTAAACAAAGGGTTAATAACGGATAGACCTCCTATAGTATCGCCCCACAGCAGACCCCATGTAGTTCTACTTGTGTAAATAGAACCTGAGCAAATTTTTTATTGACTCATAAATGAGTCAAAAATTTTTGAGGTCGACTGATCCCTTGTAGTTCTATTGGGGAGGATAGACCCTCAGTTGCAATTTTTTCTCTTAAAAGAGTTGAAAAAGTTCACTAAGGAGGTATATCTATAATTGGGCAAATATAGGGGGTTTATCCGCACAAATAGAACTACAGGGGGTCTATAATTGGGTTAAGGAGGTATATCTATAATGGGGCAACGAAGATGTTACACGCCAAAATTATTTTCAAAACCCATTCTTTACACTTATAGGAAATCAATTTCAACAATTGGGTAAGCTGATAATTCCAACATAACAATTGGGAACTGCACTTCTATATTACTTATTCTGGTTACATTACTTCATTGTCCCTTGCCTTACTCTGCTCCTAAAGTGTAAACTATCAGTTTTATTTCAAATATAATGCTAAGAAGTACACAGTTCTGTACTTTGAACTTCAGGAGCCTAACAGTGAGGGAAAGTCATTAGAAATTTAAGCAGCAAAGAAAGAAAGAAGTAACCTTTGGAACGATGACTCATTGCATCTCGAAGTTCTGAAGGATGTCTGCGCTCTTCGCTCTTGAATTTTAATTTCACTTGATGGCGTGTTCTATTAGGAAACAGCCTTTCAATCATTCCAAAATCTGTTCCAAACTGACGAATAGCCTGGGGCAGCATTCAACCGGAATATGAATAACAATTTAGGAGCAAACATTACCACTGGTGGTAGTTGGTAAAAAGCATAAAAAGAATGAGAATTTGTAACATAAATTTGATAGAATCAGATGTCAGAAATCTCTAGCAAAAGTGACTTTCGAGCAGTATTTGGTCATTAACCTTGAATTATCTAGTACCTCTAACATAAATAAAAACATTAAATGACTAAATCATTAAGTTACCTCATAGAACAATTCTGTTTCTGATTTTGACCATTTCCCTCGTTGTAGCTTAGTCATATGAGAGTGATAGTTCACTTTAGGGATGCTTCTAAGTCTATTTAGATGTTCTTCCTCAGCGTTAGCGTTACGGTATAGGTCCTCATCAAAAAGATTGTCTGGGTCATAATGAGTATCGCTTGGAAAAGAACCAATGTTGCTGTAATGAAACTATATATTAATGAATAAACCTGCATCAAGTATATACTTTATAAAAAGGAAACAGAAATTCTCTCAAGATAACATATGAAGAATCATTCTTTCCAATTTATAATGGGTCAAAAAAATTCGCTTCCATAACGATAATTTTTTTAAAATAATTATGTAAGTCAGCTTCAGTTGGCATGAAGAAATGCTAATACAGTCACAGACAAAGCAAGGCACAGATCAAAGGCTGGGTAGCGCAAACTATGTTTCTAACCCCATACAAAATCAGGTTCAAACTTTATATACCTAACTATAAAAGTCATGGATGATCTACGACTCTTTCTCAGGAAACATAGTGAAAAATGAAAACAGAATTCATGGAGAGATGATAGTAAATTATAAATTGCATCAGATGTTGACAAAAGCATGATCTTAGGATATATATGAGTAATGACTGTAGTTATGGAGTTTATTGAAACAAAGCATATTATTACTTAACTCATCCATCCTAAAACAATATAAATGGAACTATCCTGATCCAATCCCACCTAACCTGACATAGCCTAAGCACAATCTGAGCAATCTCCTGGGAAACTCAGTTGAGATAAGTTCCTTGGCTTCTTTTTTCATTAGTCAGATTGTCATATGGTTGCATAGTAAATGTGAGTTTAGGACCGGAATAGCTCTTACAAAACAATAGCCACTGTATCAAAGTTTAGACATGCCAACGGATCCATCCATAATCAGTAAAAATACTGTCGACATTGGCTTACTAATGTAATAGTAGATCCAAGGGAAGAACCAAAATGAATTAATATTGTGTCAGAGAAAAAAGAAGTCTAGGTGGACAGGTAGAAAGCTTGTGATTAAATACTACTTTATCATTCACAAAAACTCTGATACGGACGAAACCACCAAAACTCCCAGTACTGATACCAATAAAGGCAAATACAAACTGCAACCAGTATTAAGATTTCAGGCCTTCTTATTTACTCATTACATTGACTGGTCACAAGTTTGAAAATGACAATAATCCAAAAATCACAAGCGAACATGACTATATATGTATATTTAATTCACGTAGAACATATCTGGTTACTGTTCATACTAAGAAATAACCTAACATAGTCAAACAGTTTATGCGTTCATTTACTTTATCAAAGGGGAAATAATATACTTCATTCCATACATATTTTTAGGTGAGTAATTTTACACATTTGGAAGTGTCGAACATTGAGGTCACTCATATAGTGTCCAAGTGTTTCACAGAGGCAATTCGTAGGCTGTGGGAGTATCCTGCATATCATAGTGGTTTGCCATGAAACATTCATTGTGATGTTAAAGATAAGAAGAAATGCTAATCTATTCTGCGTATGAATCAGTCATTAACTATTACGCAAAAAGTGGCATACGTCAATAATCATTTCCACAATAGTTCATGCTAGAAAGACTTCATACCTTCCATTATTCCCCGAAGCAGTGGCTTCTTTACTCTACAAGAACTAGTAGATATGTTAATGATCAAAATTTTCTTAGCTTAAAAAGGTTAACCCAAAAAAAAAAAACTTACCGCATTTTTCTCATTAGCCTCTCCTAATAGTATCAGCTGTTTAATTGCTATCTGCCTACGGTCAATCTCGTAGTCAGGTGTTTCCAATAGAGCCTTGTCCACTAACAGTAAATATATAAAAACATTAAGAAAAAAAATTTAAAGGCTTCTTCGAGGTAGTTCTGAAACATTAGAAAGTGTGAAGTACAGACATACATTGCCTTCTCTTCCGTCGAGTCCCATGAGGAAACCTCTTTTTTGGTGGTTCTGCTTCTGTGGAATCAGGTTCTTTGAAGGTCTTTTTGAGCCTTTTAGATGGTTCCTGGGCATCAATCATCTGCTTCTTTACTCTTTTCGGTTGCCTTTTCTGCTTGGGCTTATCTTCACCCCTATAATCATCATCATTAAGGTCTTCATCCATCTGAGAGTTGTTTAAGGTCTCAACATCCCGATTTTCTGCTTCAGCTTGTTCTTCATCATGCCAGGGCTGTACTTGATTAGCCACACACACACACACATATGTTCCATGATCAGAAAAGAAAATATGGATAAATAAGGGAGAAACATGAGAAAGTTTTATCAAAAGAGTCTTACATCTCCATCCAATGTATCAATGGCTTCAAACTCTGGCGATCCAGCTTCAATGGAAGACATTTCAACAGGCTCTGCTTGTTCATCAGTCAAACTTCTGAGAGTCTCAGTTGGGACAGACAGATTATGATCTTCTAATGCTTCAGTGTCCATAGGAAGAGACTCCAAATGTGAACTATTCTCCTTAGCATCATTGGTATTATCAGAGCTATTAGATTTCTCAGTCTTGGTCTTGGTCTTGGCACCACGCCTGGGCTGGAGTTTACGCGCAACCTTCCCTGACAATTTCAGAAGAGAACGATATGAATCTAAGAAGCTGATACAGCATGTATATGAAAAACTAAAAATATTTTTGTTAAGCTCTTTTCGAACCTGATACTAAATCTGATGTGGTGAGAATACTCTCAAAAGATTCAGGGTCTGAGAAGTCTGCTAGCTTCTAAAGCATGCAATGCATGAATCAGAACAGGTTATCACTACAGGAAACAAAGTGCAAAAAGTACATCATAAATAGAAATTTACCTCATTTGCACTTCCTTGATCCAACTGAAAGTCCACATTATCAGAGATTATGGATGTTGTATGTGGAGCCTTATCAGAATCAGGAGGAGAAAAGGATAGAGACATGGATTCCTCTTCGTTTAGTTGTGAAACAGACTCAGGTTCAACAGGAGTAGCAGCAGTATCAGCAGCATCAGGGAGAATAAAAGATACAGACTTGGCCTGCTTTTTTTGTCGTGAACCAGCCTTTGGTTGAAATTTGCTTACTTTTTTTACTGCTAAAGTAACACCAAAATCATGTTAGAATCTACAGAAAAGAAACCCAAAAACATAACAATCTTCTGCTATTTGGACTAATCACAGAGAAAAAAGAACAAAGTCAGAACCCAACAATTTCAGTTGCTCAATGTAAATCTCGCTTCACATACACGCATGATTATTTCTCCACTAAAACAACAAAATATTAATTTTGTTGGTCACTTCTTACCAGCAATATCAGTGGACTCTGAGAAAATATCAGCATGCAATTCCATGCCTAAGAGAACTGGCATTGCCTGAAAATAGAACAGATATTTTGAGATTTTACAGAACATAGCATAAACTAGATAATAAAATATAATAACTACCGCTTTTTCTGGTTTGGCTGGATCACTTTGCAAGTTTCCCTCCCACTTGGAGACTTGAGAAATATCTTGAGAAGCCACCTCATGAGACAATAATCCGCTAGATAAGTTGACTGCTTCTTGGGCCTCACTAACTACAGACGAAATATCCATTGCTACAGAGCCGCTTGAGCACAGGTGTGAAGCACTGACAGGCTCTGCAACAGCTAAAGAAATACTATGAGGTAACATAATCATTTTTCTCCTTCAAGTAGTGCGTCAGCATTAGGAATAACAACATGAATTTGAAGCATAACTGATAACATGTAGGTGTCTGCAACAGAAGCATGATGCATATTCTCATCTGAATTGGAGGATGTAGAGATTAGTTTTTGTGAATTTAGGTCGTTGATTTGATCAGAATTTTCCCATCTCTTAGCAGGCCTAATAAATGCAGTGCTAACCTGAGAAAATAAAATCTTCCAATGATTAAATCTTCCAGTTTGATAAATTCCAGACATAATTAGCAATGTTGTTTTTAATTCTATAGCACTGATATTGGCAGAAAAGTGAGAAAACTAAACATCCTCAATTGATTGCATATATTTATGTTGTTGGAGACAATGAGTTGAACTTGGTAGCCGTCTTCATCGACAATGAACAGGGGTTCGAGGAAGGTGTGTCGATAGGGCCTAAATTCTTAATTCACTGACCACACAAACACCAATTTTGTTGTTCATACTCTGGAGATGAATGATCAATCTCTAAGTGTGATTCCCTTGGTCCCCGAGTGATTAGATCACTGGACGAATGAGAACAAGAGTCGATGAACTCTTGGTGAACTTGAGAAAAACTCAAGCTCGTAGGAGGCACACAAAATGTGGGGCGCATTAGAGGACAAAGAACTTTGCCACTTGAGGAAATAAGCAGAATTTGGAGCAAAAAGATGAGCCTTTTGAGTGTGGAAGGGGGTTTATTATTTATAGGCAAATGGGGTTTTCATCATTGCGGCCCTCATCATAACTTTCACCTTGTGCACCCCCCTTCATGCGCCCCTTCTAACAACTCTTCAGAGGAAGTCTGTTGAGGAAAACTTTCTTTTTTGGAAGTGTTAAAGGGGACGATGTCAGAATGACAGCCTTTTGGTCTGGGTGCGTTAGAATAAAACAAAATTTGCTGGGCTTCCAAGAAACTTCGCTGTTTTGTGTACTTGAAGGGTGAGGCGCACAAGTGTGGGGCAAGAAATCGTTGTGACACCTCTTTTGCTAATTTTTTATCTTCTTTTGATCTAGTATGATGATGTAATCTTCTAGAGTTAGTCGTTATCTCATCAAATTGTTGTTTTCTCACCATCTTCTTGGATTTTGTTCTGGGTGTGCCCCCTGTGCTTGTGCCCCCTGTGCTTGTGCCCCCATGCTGGGTCGTTAGCATTTTCATCTTTTGTGTGCCCATAGTTCTGGGCACACGAATATTGATTTTTGACTTTTAAGCTCCTTTTCCAATGTATTTTATAGCCTTAGACTCAGGTCCTTATTCCCTTAACAAATTTTGTAATCCTTTGGACTTTGTGAAGTGACCAAAATGCCCTTGGTGGGGTCCATATCATATTAAGTTAATTATGTTTGCATTTATTACCACCTACAATGTATAGCTAAATCATCAATAGTTTCTAAACTTTTACTTCCTTTGGACCTTATTTTAGTTATCAATGTATTTCAAGATTTATTAGTTCATACAGGGTCCATAATTTTTTCCCCTATGGGGCACATATATAATTACACATAAATTCATAACTTTTATAATATAAAGTCAACGAATAAAAGCACATGCAAAGATCTCAACACAAGTCTTTTCATTATCATTTTTGACATCAATACATTTTCATTTCCCTCACCAGAATTAGACGAAAATAAAATGGTTTAAGAGATGCATCGCATGGCACTAGTGATAGAGCAAACTATTGACAGATAGAAACATTACATATATAGAACAAGAGGCAATTTGTCATCTATCCATATTTCTTCAAATACCGTAATTTACCAACCAAACAAGTACTAGTTCTACAAAATTTGAAACTTTTCACATAAAATACAATGGATAAATGAATTAAACTGAAACTTGTTTATACAAATACAATAGACAAATGAATTAAACTGAAACTTCTTCATACAAATTTTTGCGAAAAAATCAACATGCATTTGGGACAAAAACTCTTAAATCTCTAATCTCTGTCCGCAGGAATCAACGATAATTTGAGGAAAACTCTATCCACATGAATTACCAGTGATTTCCGCAAAAATCCAAATTTTGGGCAGAGTAATTGGTTAGGGTTTTTTTGCATTTAAGAATACTGATAACCGAGCTAGAAGTAGAAAACCCTAGCCCTAGAGAAGGAGCAATTCAATGGAGTTGGGAGTAGATTACCAATGGACGTGTGATTGGGAAAACGAGAAAGAGAATACAACAACCTCTGTTTTCTCGATTGGAAAAGACGAAAAGGAGAACCCGGAGAAGATGATAAAAAATAGCTAGTTTATTACTTTATTTCATGGGGAAGCGAAGCGGATTGAGGGATTCTCTATGTATACCTTTAATTTGAGGAGTTAGCCCTTTTTTTCTTTTTGTTCAAAACCCAACTTGTTGAGTTTGTGGGTACCTATTACAACTTATTTAGGTTGGTGAAATTAAAATTTTGTGGGGAACCTATAAAATTTCTATTCTAAGCAGATCCATCCTTGAGTTCATAGATACATCGAGACCAAGGTATACATCTAACTTCCTATCCTGAACAATAAATTTTTAAATTAGATTCTAGAACTTAATTACTAATAAAACATCTTTGTTTAGTTAACTAACTAGGTATTCTTGTATGGAAGAACTTCAATATAAATTATATCAATTTCCAAAAAAATCAATAACAGAACTTTATTTTATGCATTCATTTACCCACACTTACCCATGGGCGCATCAGGATGAAAGAGTGGACCAACCTCCATGTGAGACTCTATCAACACCTGATGCATTACAAATATATTTTTTTTAATTCAGTTTGTTATTAAGGGAAGTGAAACATTTATCATAGAATAATATGGTCACAACACACTTTACCTCTGAGACATGAGTTTCGCCATGAGGAACCTCTTTCTCAGCCTCCGACTCTCTCCTTACAACAGCATCCGAGAAATTGATGTTAGACTCAGACTCTGAAACAATACATGGTTCTTTACACTCAACTATAACATCCTGGAAGCAAATGAGAATTTATTAAATTACATAATTTCATATGAAATGGGCTAGGATTCATAATTTTCCTTAATATGAGGTTTTCCTCTTCATTTTTACTTACAGGCCAAGTAGCAGCAGATGAGTTAGAGAATGTGGCTGCTGGTTTCTTGGGTTTAAGGCATGGTTTGGGTTGAGATTTGTATGCTATTGTTGCTGCCAATCAATAGAAGAGACAAATATCTCAAACAAATAGTAAATTAGTCTAAAATAGCATGTAACTAGGACATAACTTAAAAATTGCTAGGTTGGGTTACCAGTGGCGGTAGCAGATGGAAGAAAAGCATCATCATTTGAATAAAACCAACAAAACAAAACAAAAATCAAATCTTTTGCAGTCACAATACTAAGACTGAGCAAATTAGATAGAGACTTAACGTGTCTTTATACAAAAGAACTTCAAGGTATATTAAGTTAAAAACAGTTAAAGTATAACCATTTCAAAAAAAAGGAAATAAAAGCTTTATATTAGGCATTCTTTCACTTAAACTTACCCATGGAAGCATTGGGATGAATGAGTGGAACACTCTCCACATCAAACGCTATCGACATCTGATGCACGCCCAATTTTTTTAAAGAACGTTCAAAAATTGTCTTACGGCAATTGAAATATTAACCATCAAATGATATAATTACAGCTCATTTACCTTTGAAACTACCTTATCACTCTTTGAAACATGAGTTTCGCCATGAGGAACCTCTATGTCAACCTCTGATGAATTTTTGTTAGACTCAGAGACTGAACTGAGTGGTTCTTTAGACTCAACTACAGCATCCTAGAAGCAAATAAAAACTTATTAAACCACATAACTTCATATGAAATGGGGCAAGATTTCTATTGTTTCTCAATATTACCTGCCTGAGGTTAACTTCTTCGTTTTTACTTACTGGTACAGTAGAATCAGATGAATTGGTGCTGGTTGCCGCTGGTTTCTTCGGTTTAAAGCGGGGTTTGGGTTTCAACTTGTTCGCTATTCTTAATCAAATAGAAAATTAGCTAAAAATAGCAAAACTAAATAAAACTTTAAATTAGAAAAAAAAACTGCCAGTCTAGATTACCAATGGTGGTAGCAAGTGGAAACGAACTATCATCATCTGCATGAAACATAAACAATAATAAAATTAAAAAACGCAATCTTTTGTTATTGAATTGAAAAAAAATTCAAAATTCTAAGACTAGAATCATCACCTGCGATTTCTGAGAAAATGTTGTCCATAGATTCTGAACAAGACAGTAAAACGTGTGAAATTTCTTATTCCATCATAAAAGTTTTATTGACTCTTAACATTTTAGGATAAACTAACACGACCCTAAATAAACTAAGATTGCATTTGGGAAATGAAATTTGGATGTGGGAGGTAGGTTTGAAATCGAAGGGATTTGAAATCCATGATTTGGTAAATCCCTTGTTTGGATCTCTTTATTAAATTCAAGGATTTAAATTCTTTGATTTCAAATCTAGTGACTGGATACACTTTATCATACATGAATTTGGGTTTGAAATACATGTTTAAAGAAAATACTCCCTCCCTCCCTCTCAACCCCTCTTCTTTAAATCAAATGCAATATTAACAAGGTCTTAAATATCGGATATCAGGGAAATATCGGATAGGCAAAATTCATATTGAATTGCGGACGTCGAGGAAATATCGGGAATATGTGGTAAATATCAGAATGTCATAACGGATGTTTGCATATACAGTATAATGCACTAACATGTAATCTCATCATACTTAATAAAATCTAAGCATACAAAATATAAATAATATATGTTTAGGATCCCTAATCAATCTGGTAAAACAAACAAAAGTACAAAACAATGTTGCAACATTTAGTGTGATTTTTTAGGCCAAAATATCATTTGATATAATGAGAAAATCATGATATCTTGCCCAAACTTGCCAAACACGACATATTGTTTTGCGACAAGCCATATAAAAGGATATATCGGCCAACATATCAGCTGATATATCGGTCATATTAGGAATATATCACCCAAAATAGTCAGATAGAGGTAAAGGATATTTAGAGACCATCGGTTGCAGCAAGCCCTGTAAAAGGATATATCAGGCAATATATCGGGGGATGTCGGAGACATAATTATACAGTACGCGGTACGTAGCAGGGCATGGTACAAATTCGGGTACGCAATTCGCCACTTAGAAAATTTAGACTCATTAGGGGTAGCTTACTTCGGTATGCAAGTTCAGTTAGTGGTACGTTATAAATTTTTTTGGGTGTGTTTAAAGTTTTCCAAATATATAGTAGAAACCTAAAAAGCTAATTATGAATTTTAATTATTTTTTCATACAAAATACTTAAATACTTCTTTTTGATAGAGTTTATTTATTTGTTCTGTTTTTTTTTCACAGAGCTCGTTTTACGATCATGGTTTCATTTTACATTTAATTAACATGAGTGTTTAAGTTGCATTAAATTCATTGGCTCATATATATACTCTATTGTGTATCCCTTCACTTAATTGCACACGTTGCACGACGTCTTGCACACGTGCACTTAAAGGGACTATGCGTCTAGCATACTTGTAAGTAATACACCAATTTTGAGGAATTAGTTCTTGTATCGAAGGAAATCAGTTCGCAAATATACCGGGATCGGTTTGTAGGAATTGTACGATGGTTCGAGGGGGGAGCGGGGGAATCGTGCAACGATGGTCAGGAATATTTAAAACAATGATACTTAAAACCACATCATATGACATAGCAACTTGAAAGCAATAAAAATGAAAATAATTAAACTTTGCTATCCTAACACTTCAGTTCACATGGCAACATGCATGCTAGTCAACAACATATATACTTCATTACTACGAAATTTCAACCTATAGAAGATCTAAAATTCATAAACCACAGCCTAACTTGTGGAAACATTTCACAATGGCCTCAACTCTCAAAATTTATTAGAAAACACTAGTTTCTTTCACAATAATAAATTTCTGTCTACCATTAATTTCAAGCTTCTCTAAAAAAAACCACCCAACAACAAAGCAAACAATGAGCACATTAGAGGATACTTGTCAATGTAGTTGAAGCAAATACAGCAAACCGAAATAATTATGGTAGCAGTTCGAACTCCGCACCTTATGTTCTAAGGTAAATAAAAGACATCCTCAGTTATGTCATCATAAAGTGCAATAGTCAAGATATACTTCACTACAATCAGAAAACATGACCTCAAGACATCACCACCTTACCCAAAATTTTGCAGATAATGAAGGTCACTCAATTAAACTAAATCGTGATTAAAAAAATATTGTTTATACGTTTGAGATTAGAGACTAGAGAAGCTCTCTTAGCTCGAACAAAGAGGCTTTCCCCAAAACTTTTCCTATAATTGCAATCATTCACAACAATTAACGATTAGCATTATCAATTGCTGAAATTAGTCAAAAGCCCATCAAGATCACCAAATCCTAATGCATACCAGTTATTAGAGAGGGGAGAGAGAGGAGATGAAAACCCTAGCGAAAGATCAAACAGTCCGATTAGGGTTTGCAACAAACTCTTGAGAGGGCGATTAGGCTCGAGGGGAGAGAGAAAGAGAGGAGAGAGTTTCTGAGAGAGAAGAGGAATCGGGGAGAGAGAGAGACCGATCGTAATTTTAAGAGAAGAGGAAACAAGGTCGGGATTTGACAAATACCACATGTTGGAGTCGTGCTGTAATTTGAAATCAAAGGTTTAGGGCTTTAAAATCCACGTTGTAAACTATATTGGATTTGAAATCTAAGTCTAAACTAAAGCCGAAACATGGCATTGTATTTGAAATATCCCAAATTTTAAATCAGGGGCCCGTATCTGGGGTTCCCAAATAGAGTCTAAGGATGTGTCTGGAAAATTCCTAAAATTAGGCCAGGACCGAACCTGGCCCAGTTTTGAGTTTGCTTTTTATTGGCAAAAACTGGACCAGTCTGGCCTAATTTTTCTTAGGCTAAAAAGAGGCCATAAAACCAGTTTAGTGTTGGACCAAGGCGGTGATGGTCCAACATTAAACTGGTTTAAAGTAGAAGTGGGCCAGGGTCGGATTTAGGTTCACGAATATTTGAATCACATGCAGTGCAATAATAAGGGTAAATTTCACAAAACCCCACAAACTTTGGGAGTCTCCTACCTGACCCCCTTAACTTTTTTTAGCACCAAACAACCCAACTTGAGGCGTCTCACCCACCCCCAAACATTGAAAATTTCTCAATAGAACCCTACATGTACATGACACATAGCTAAAATGTCATCGAGAGGAGAAAAAGAATGTCCCTCAAAACTTTGGGTGTCTCACATCACTCTCCTAAGCATCTAGATTTTTCTGATAGACCTTACTACATGTAAATAACAAATAAGTAAAATGTGTTTTGAGAGAAAAGAAAGAAAAAAACTCATCCCCTCATCTTTCCGCTTGTGACAGAGCCAAAACCAATAGGCAATGGGAGCTAAAACTCATGGACAATGGGTAGTGGCAAACCATGATTTTGTCCTAATGATTTCCCCATATAATTTATTATGGTTGTATTTGGGAATGTACAATGATAATTTTATACTTTTATCTTTTTTAATGGTTTCCTATTCTAATTCTGATGGTGTCCCAACTCCCAATTGGTAAATATAAGTAAAAAGAATAAAAATATGTATAAAGTAGACAATCTAGTGTTGTCCTATGGCACCATTAGACATTATTGTGGCTCCCCCACTGGCATTGGCGTCGATAAATTGTGTTTGAGAACTTGCAAGACCACTTGGGGCTGTGTTAGACTGCAGGAAGGGTGGGAGCGCAATATTAAGACTAGTTCTCATGAGTTTAGATGTTGCAGAAGGCGCTAGGCGACCTGGGCATTTGACTCGGGGCCTAGCGCCCACGGGTTTTTCTTTTAGTTATTTAAATAATTGACAAACAATAGCCAAAATAGTAAATACTAAGAATCACCAACATGCTCAACATAAGCAATCATGCACTAATCGTTACTGCTTTGTTATTAAGTTAATTAACTAGCTACGAATTAAGTTAACAACAAACTAAGTTACCTACGCTAAAATAGACTTAAGTGAGGACTGCGATGTGAAGTTGTGAACATAAAACTAAAAAGTTAAAATAAATAGTTAATCAACCATTCAAAAGAGGGAATCAGATCTAATAAAAACCAGCGGCAAAAAGAATAGAAAAAAATAAAAAAAAAATAGATCAAAAAAATTTACCTAAAATCAGTCCGGAGGTGGCCGCGAGCAGCTGACGAGGGAGGAGGAGCCGCGACAAGAGGAGAAGATGCAGCGCGCTGGACTGCGACGGAGAGGTAGCGGGGGCGGCTGATGAGAGGAAGGAGGAGCGGTGGACGGAGGCGAGAGAAGGAGAGAGCGGAGATGTGGCCGAGGAGGACGAAGCCAGGGAACTGCAGCGAGGCTAGGTTTTAGATCTGCCTTCGACGTGCGCGTTTTCGATTTTCTTTTGTTGTTTCCTCTTTTATATTTATTTTAATTTAATTTGGGCAATAATTTTAGGAATAAAATAGGGAGAATTGACTTCTTAGATTTGCATCAAGCCCGCTTCGAAAAGGAAGCGCATATGGTGGGTCAAATTTATTCATCTAATATCTAATCTAATCTAATATCTAATCTAATCTAATCTAATCTAATACTTCTAATCTAATATATATATATATATATACTATTATAAAAGTGGGTTGTCATGTTAAAACATTTTTACCTAAAATGCCCTCCAATACATCCATTCATACATACATGCTCAATTTTTTTATAACCTCCCTCCATGCATGCATACATACATGAAGACATACATGCTCAATTGTTCATAACCTCCCAATTGATTGTTATTAATTTTTTAATTAATCACCCACTCATAACACTCCTCCACTAACTCATCTATTTTGAAAATTTATCCTTTTATTCAATAAAAATTTTAGTTTATATAAAATAATAATATTTTACTTACAAATATAATGATGTGATAGTTGACAACAATCACATTCCACTCTCTCCATTATTTGAGAGGCGTTTCAGTTATGAGATTGAATTATTTAATAGCTTTTTTTAGTAACTTAAGAATGCACATATATTAAAATACCATCAAATCATGAGTTACAAAAACAGTAGCCGATAATCTTATCAAAATTTCAGTTTATAACTCAAAAGTCATGTGACTCCTATAAATTGATCGCATTTCCTCAAATCCAACTATCCCACATCAAATAGAAAATAGAACCTGGAGAAAAGTAGAGGAAGAGAA